GGCGGGGGGGAGGCCGCGAGCCTTCCCGGCGGCTTCCTTCCCTCCTTCTCTCGAGGGGTAGTTCGGGTCCTCGTGTTCAGAGCTGAAGCGAGCCAACGTACAAGACGCAGAGAGCGAGGTTGAGGGGAAAACCCGTGGCAGACGGGGTCTCGGGGACCCTCAGCCGCAGCCCCGCGTCAGAAAGGGGTGAACAGCTACCTGCTTTCCAAAGTCCCTCCCGGCGTTTGCATACAGCCCCAGAGGCGTAACTGTTTTCCACAATTGATTATGGTACGTAAGAAAATGAGCTGTCCGTGTGTCTGAGCAGCTGTGGAGCCTCGGGCGTACAGAACTGATTTCAGCCAGTGACTTGTTAGGGGCAATGCTGAAATGTCAGTTTCAAGTTTTCTTTAATCACAGCGCGCTCTTTTAGAGCGCATAGTTTTTGAAATTAGCCAAATTCATAATGCAGCATTTGTTATTCCCATGTCAAGATGAGATACATCGTTGTCAGAGTCTGCTCACAAACCACGTACATACTGAGACTGTCTTGATCTAGCCTAGTCTGAGAGGTGTAGGACAGAATTGGTCTCCTTTACAAATACTGGGCTTTATAATATATACATTATACCCTTCTTTGTGTTTCACAGCAATAAACAGAAGAGCTTTAGGTGAAAGGAGGCATTACATTTTCATTACAGACAAAAAAACCCACATTGCCAAGGAGACTTTCAACATTGCAAAGCCACTTGCTCAAAAAGAACTCTAGACTGAAGGTTTTCTGTTCAAACTGATTTGGGCCCCCTTGTGCCTGTACATTGTAAGTCCGACATACGCCTTTTTAACAGGAGCCCTCTGAGCACCCAGCAGTGATACACAGGTGCACGCGCCTCACCTTCATCGGTGTGCAAAAGCACTGCTCTGCTACCTCTCGGTTTCCATCTGACCATCCGTGTCTACTGCTCCCTTGGCACCCCTGTTCATCTCCTTCTCCACCAAGTCTGACTTCCAGCCCTCAGTTTCTGCCTTAGGCATGTTACCACCCACCGCTCTACAGGTCTGGCTCCTGTTCCTTATGCGTTTGAACTGGATATTTCTTTCCTCTGCGTCTTTGGGGCATCAGCTTCCTTTCCTAAGGAAATAAGATCTTTCAGGGGTCTTTAGGCCTTAGAATCTGACTGGCTTTTATAGGTTACGTAGAAATTGCAATTTTCCAGGATATATATAACATGGGCAGTTATTTTCCCCAGGGATGGCACAAACATCTCCCTGACAATAAAGGTAGCCCTAAAAGTATCAGGCCTGTGCCTGAAGCATGGAAACATAGGAGATTCTTTCCTTCCAAAAACGTGTCAGTCAATATTAATAATAGATGGTGTTACCAGCAGCCTCTTATGTAAGTGGCCACTACGGAGGTGTAAGCTTAAACTTAGCCGTCACTTTGTAATAAAGCACACATCATAGCAAAATTGAGGTCTTGCCACGCACTAAGCTTGCCAGACATTTAATAAGGCATACATTTGGATGTCATTAATTACAGAATTTGCTACTAGTTTACATTAAGCAATATGAAATTTCAGTTGCCTGTCTGCTCTTTAAAACATGAGATACACCACTTTTAGATCTTTTGTTTATCTTTAAAAGGAAGTATCAAACTACATGGGGAAAAAAATTATAATTTATTAACAATATAGCTGACATCCATGTTGCTGCTAGAAATTATAGAATAGTGTTCAGTGTTTGCGTATTAGAAAATGTAATTATTTTAATGTTCTAATGTACAAGCATGCAAATTGTTTCAACAAAGGTGTAAAGTTAAAATCTCATAGACAGTGGATGGTGGAAGTTCACATTTTATAGGCCTTAGGCTTAGATCGGAGATAGCAGTTGACAATATAAAATAAATGAAGACTACCTATAACAAAGAAAAGAGCAAGTCAAGAAAAGGGTAGGATATTGGGAGGAAAAGATTAAAGGGTTCCTGGCAAAAATTGCCTTGTTATAGACTGGAAATAAGTCTAGTTGGGTGGGAGTTTTAGCCCTCCATTCCAGTTTTTTGCAGCCTGGCAGACCTAAGTGCTGTCAGCTTTATCTTTAGTGCTTCATTCGTCCTGACTTGACGGGCTCACTCTTGTAGTTTTTTGTCTTCTTCTTCTTCTTCTTCTTCTTCTTCTTTCCATGGGTCCAAGTTAAAATTCAGAAAAAGAAGAAAACCTCTTGCCATGATCCTTTTCACGGAGAAGAGCGGACAGCTTCTTTCAAAACATAGGCCCACTGTCGGCTGAACAAAAGCCATATAAACCAGAGCTGCTTTGTACATGTCAGTAGCTCCTTCAGGGCGTCACTGGGCATGAGGTGACATGGCCACCACTTAGGGGTCCTCTAAAGATAGATGTGCGGTCCTCTGTTTATTCAGTTTTTCTCCACTCTCTGTTTGGATGCCACGGGACAAATGTTTCTGCATCCCCTAATCTCGCTTATTTATGTGACTCCCACTTCTCACTTTTTCTTCTAACGAGCTGAGCTGTGCGGCCATTTTCAGTGGAAGTTCAGCAGCACCTCCCTGGGAGGGAGTCGTGGCAAGTGCTCTCTGAGTGTAGAGACCTGTGCTTCTCTGCAGAGGAAAAAAACCAGCACTGGTTTGAGATAATCACAATGGCATCTTCATTTCTTTCTCTGCTGCTGCTTCTTTTTATTTCTTTTGGGTTTTCTTTAATGAAACTAGATTAACTCTTCATATGGAAAACTGTATTTCTCTTAGGAACAGCTCTTTTTGGTTTACCTTAAGCTAGTTGGAAAGCTACGCTGAAAAATATTAAACTTCAAAATGAAAAAAGCAGGGCCACCAAGGGATTTGGATCAGTTCAGCTGAATGACTTTTTAAGTTATCTAAGTGATGCAGCTATCAAAAAAAAAAAAGAAAAAGAAAAATGAATATTGGCCCTTTTCACCCACTCATGAGGTAGACCTGCAGTCAGTTCAAAACTGCTATTGCTGGGATACTGCTGTGCGAGAACATGGGGTCAGCAGTTCAACAGATGCTTCTCTGCCCCTTTTGCATACAGAAAGCTGCAATCCACGTTGCTTTTTAATCGTCAGTCCTCAAAAGACTGTAGCCTATCTAATTCTATATGCTGAGCTTACTGCCTTTGGTTGTTCAGATGAAAGGGGAAAGTTACACTGATTCAGACCCAGAAGTATGACCCAGAAGAAATGGCCAAGAAATGACCCAGAAGAAATAAGGGAGTGAGGGTCCCACGACCCTTCTGTCAGTCAGTCCATTCTGTAAATCGTTATTAATGAAGTAGCAGTAACTCTACAGGTGTAATTAGGTTTTTTTCCTTCCTAGAATAGACTTGCAGAACATACAGACTATTTTGTGAAAACTCTAGAGATAGAGCAACGGTAAAAACTACTGATAATTTCTAAAACAAAAATGTCAATATTTATGGGGGGTTTGTTTGGGGTTTTGGTTTTTTTGTTTCATTTTTACATGAACTTTTAATAGACTCCATATTGTGCTTATAGAGTCATAGAAAAACATCCCATTTTTGCTGTGCAGTATTCCAACATCACTAAATCAAGCTACATTTTAGCCTAAGGAAACAAGCTTTATTGAGACCTAGCTATCTGTGTGTCCACCCATCTCTCTATCATTCCTTTCCCTTGACTTTATTTGCCAGTTTCAGCTCCATTTTATAAAAGGGTAGAGATCTCAAAAATAAGTTCCTACAAGTTTCAAGAATGCAAGTATCGGAGCAGAGGAGACCGACACCAGTGTGTGTCCCCACCAGAAAGTAGCTATTTTTCATGCTGACCCACAGCAGCCAGTTGATGTATTGATATGCATATAGCTGTGTACCAGCTACAGCAATGCTATTTCTTGGCTGACTTGCTTTCTCCCCCGCTAAAAAAGAAGGCGTCTGAGGTCTATGGAGTTGTAGTGGAAAACTGGTGGCACTATGGGATTAGAAGACGTGAGGAAGGTCTGATGGGGCAGCAGCAAAAGGATCACACGGACCACAGAGGATACAGCTGGGATTACAGAGATAAAGGCAACAAGGGAACTTCCACATAGACCACAAATCCATGGTAAACCAAGCGTTACAGTAGAGCTTGCTTTGTATATAGCTATGGGAAACGTGAAGCTGTGGGACATGTATTAAAAGCGCTTAAAAGGCATCCTAATGGAAGCCCTGCTTTGTCTCGGATACATACCACGTTACCATTTAATTGTAAACCTATAAACTCAGCATTTTCAAGGAAGCTCTGAGCATAAAATTATCCAAAATAAAGATAGTCTGTAGAAATCAAACCCAAAATCCAATCCCTATGCTTGCTAAAACTAACAGTTGGATTCTAGGATATTCATTGTCAGCCTGCTACAAGGGATGTTACTGGCTGCTGCTTTACGCATTACTGAAGCCGTCTTTGCCAGCAGGAAGGAAATTCCTGATGGGCTGTTTGGGATGGATATTTTGTTGTGTGTATTTGTCCCAAAAGCAACCACTTCACTAGCACAACTCTGAAACATTTGAATGGTCTTGCTTTTATGTAAGATGACGTCTAAGACACTACCAAGCCCTCATAGGAAAAAAAATACTACATTGTTAGCTGAGAGCTCAAAGATTATTGCTGGTGGAAAAATATCACTCAGAATGGTGTGAAGCAGGAGTAGTCTGGACAGCGTCACATCCTTGAGTCGCGGTACCCCAGTGCAGAGCAGACACAAAAGTCAGGAGACCGGTTCCTCATCTGTCCTGCCAACGGGGTTTTATGCAGTGGACCAAGTTGGACAGATCCAAAATGGAGAAGGCTATTTTGAGACGCTACTGATGACTGGAACAGATCTTTAGTACCAGTCCCAGGCAACTACAGGCAGCAACACCGCAATGCTGAGTCCAGAAAGGGCCACTGGATATCTATTTCATATATGACAAAGTGACAAATGTTTCCCCAAGTCCTATAATACTTTGTACAAAAGGTACACAAATATGACAGACAAGTAGTGGAGGATGGCACCAGTGCTTTAAATCCCTGCCACTGCAAGGTGCTGGTCAATCAACCAGTCGATCCTAGAAAGCAAATTGGTATTAACATTTTACAGGGGTGGGCATCCCACCTCCCCCAGCCGCTCCTGCCTGCGGGGCAGGGGGGAATACACCTTCCTGACCCCAGGCTGGGGATCAGGTTAACTCGGCACGCACACGCAAGGCTCACCAGCTTTTGGAGTTATTTTTGCAGGGATATGGAACCTAATTTGAGATCTGATGATTCACATATTTCTATTGCCAAGCATAAATACCAGATAAGTAAGGGTTCCATCTGTGAAGAATTCCAGTTCTGACAGCTTTAAGGCAAAGTTTCAGACTTCTTGTTGCCCCCAAATGCAAGGTTTCTGTGCTACGAAGCACATGGCTAGTGTCAGCTTAACTCAAACTTACTTAAACTTCCTGTCCCTTGATTTTATTCATGCTGTAGGCTACTAAAGCAGCGTATATTGTACAGTAAAGCCCTTTAAATTGCATGTGTAATCCTAATCTTTTCTGAATTCATTCAATCTCCTTCATAATTTCCCCTCAATGGCATACAAGTTAGAAGAAAATAAAATAAAACCTCAAACCAAAAAACAAATACACACCCTCCTTTCCTTAAAACTACAATGCTACTTTGCTTGTAAAGTAGGTAAGCACAAGAAGCTTCTGATCCTCAGCATTGCAGGGGTTGTAACGCCACTAATTACGTGGGAGTTATGTGATTAGAGGAGGGGAGCAATGCAATGCTGAAACAAGCCTGTCGGGGGCAGGATTTTACCCTTGAATAAATTCGTGTTGCTTTTAAGAAAGAAGGAATTACACAGATATGAAGGAGGAAAGTCCATAGCAGTTTGTTGCTGTATGTTAGATATATTTTAAAATACAGCAGTTGCAATATTTTAGAAAAAAAGAATCTAAGTTAGAATAAGCATGAAAGAGGACTGTACCTCATTTTCACTCAAAAAATACATGGGATGTACACGGCATGTTGATTTTCTTCAGTTAGACATAGCAGAAAACAGAATGCTCACACGGGACCCTTCTGGTACAGGAAAACCCTTGGGAAACTGTGGTGTTCTGTGAGAAGAAATTTCTTATGGAGACTATCTAGTTTGTTTTCAACTGTTTTGCTTTAAAGAAAAATGAAAAAAGAATTGTCCTCAAAGACAAATTTATCTTTCATAGCATATTATTTCAGCATTGGAAACTACTTTTCATTTAGGAACATGCAAGCTCTGCAATTAGTAAATGTCTTCACGTGGACGGTGCCCGAGTGAGGATATGTCAGAACTGGTATAGAAGACAAGATTGTGGGAAGAGACGCGCTGAAAGCAAATGGGCCGAGGGTGGAAATCAAGCCATTAAGATTTTTCTCATAAAGTGACAACTTCAAACACTTCAAAGTCCTTCTCTCTTTGTTTATAACCAGGACTGAATACTTTGTGTAACCTCCTTCTACTGCTGATACTTGTAATAAGTGAAAAGGGGCAAGACTGCAGTGATTTTGATTTTATAGAACTTCATTAATCATTTAAATGGAAACAAAGACATTCACATCCAGCCTCATTGTGTTCCCATTGGCGAGAACTGTCAAGCCTTGAACAGTTACTCCAGGTTTGGTTCCTCTCGTATTATAACAGCCTCGGCACCAAGTACTTTGCATTGGAAATTAGTCACTTACTACAACAGTGGAATGAAAAGGATCTGTATGATTTGGATTTTCTCCAAACCACAATTAAACTTCAAAAAAATCAAGCCAATTTTCTCCAGTGAAAACAAGCATACATTATTCATTTCTTCCTGTATTGTTCAGCTCCAGGTTTTGGGGATGGGGATTCTTTCTCTGTTCTAGGTTTTAGTAATCATACTGCTTTTGATTTAGTGCCCTCTTCTGCTTGATAATGTGAGTGCATGTTGTCCAATGGTTAATTATTCTCAATGAGCCCTCAGTGGAGAATAACATTTCCCAGTAACTACTGAGAAACAAAATAGCCTTATGCAGGAAGAAAGAAGCCAGGAAAAAAAAAAATCACATTATGGGAAGGTGATCAGTGAATCTCCACAGAGCTCAGTAATTTAATTTAATTACTGAGAGGGAAAGAAAAAGAGGAAATATGATCTTGATACATATTACTGTCTCTCCTCTTCCACTTATTCTCTATATTTCCCTCTTTAATTTGATTGGTTTGCATACTGCAGTCCATGCCGAACTCAGAAGACAAAGTACAGGCAGCCGAACTTCCTGAGACAAAGCACGGAAACTACAGCAATGTGTAACACTTTTCTTAGGGCACAAGCAGAGCTCACACATATATCTTTTGAAAGATCATTAAGTCATGAAGGTTTAAAATAAGGAAAACTATTTATCACTAAACAAGCAAGATTTTTAGGTAATTAGGAGACACTGAATCTGCACATGAAGCTGATACAAATAATTAACAGACCACATGAAGAAGAGTCTTATATTCCACAGAAGGTTCCCATTTGTTTGTTATACAGGAGCTGTTGAACATCAATTGCAAACAGCCTTTCAGAGCCTGCTAAAGCCATCATTTGAGTTTGGTAACGTGTCAAGAAGAAGTGGAGAACATTTGCAGATAGCTAAACCACTAAGCAAATCATGCTGTTTCAACAACCTCTTTAATTACCTGTAGTTCAAGCAAATAGCAAGAACAACTCCAGCACAGAAACCTCCAGTTTCAACCCTTTTTCCCATCCCAATAAAGTTGGAGGAGGCAACATCTCCCGCAGCATCCCAAACAAAGGAATAAAGACCAGAATGCAGGAGAATCCAGTTTCCCGCAATGACATTTGATGCCTGTCACTCAGGGATGGACCTTATTTCCATCATCCTGCACACCTTCCATCTTTTGCAGCAGGTGAGCAGGGCAAGAGCAAAGCGTACAACCAAGAAATACCTTTCCTAAGAGCAGAACTGTCTGTGTGGCAAGGGGGCCAGCACTCTGCAGAAACGAGCTAATCCACGGGCAGCAGACCAAGTGACGCTAGCTCCTACGTCCTTTCACACAAAATGCCTTCTGTCCCTGCATGTCTCCCCCCACCCCATACAGGCCTGTGCCCTCTGAGCTCTGCTCCTGCAGCGCTGCTGGCTCAGTCTTTCACCCCCTAACCACCAGCAGAGAGGAAACAGCATCTGCAGTAGCTGATTATGGCCACCAAAGTGCTACTCAGCTGCATCAATGTCCAGTTGCTCATCTGCTGGCAAACACAACAAAATAAACTACTGATCTCCTCAGTCATCACTCAGCTGGTAGGAACTTTGTGCCCTTCCCACCTCTGGTAAAGCAGAAACAGAAGTTGGGGTTGGCTAATTGGTTCAAAAATTATGAGGGAGAGGAAAGGAGAGAGACCTCAGTTCTTGGCTTGGTTTGGGTTCATTGGGGTTTTGTGGGTTGTTTTTCTTCCAGAAAAACAGACAAAAAATAGTATTTTATCACATCATCAAAGCTTGCCACACAGGCACAAGAAATCTTGGTTAAAGAATTTCACTCTCAGATTTTCCAAATTTTGCATACCAACTTGCAGTTTGAATGATCTTTTTAAGTAATTGTCTTATGTTTTTAAGAAGCAAATGAAAGTAAAATTGAAATTCTATATTGGCATCAACACAGGCAAAGAGTAAAACTGAAACTGTTAGAAGGACTTCATCTGTCTCCAGCATTTCAGCCAAGTGAATTGCTGCTAGCAGCAACAGGCTGTCATCCTTCACGTGAACTAGCGCTAGAGGGAGGTGAAACGCTTTGCCAGCTGGCTTCACAGATACTTGCTGACTGCAGAGGAGCAATTTGCAGTTTGGACAAATTCAGGAATCTCAAGTTTTACTCTGAGCTTTGAAGTGTATTGTCAAGAACAAACCTTTTCCCCCATCTCCTTTAGTCGTACGTTATGTCTGCTCTCTGCTGTGATCTTGTTCTCCCTAATGAGCCAATACTCTTTCAGCATTTTCTATGATTCATCATAGCCTTTGTGTAGCAACTCGAATATTCACTTTTCTGGAGGTGAAGGACAGAAAAATATCCATCTGTGTGGTAATTAGACTCCATACTAGCATGACTGATAAAAGTGATCAATGATGGCTAGGGACCACCTAAACCAGTAAGACAAAGAATTTCTGATGAAGCAACAAGGCATTCTGCATGCGGTAATTGGCTATTTATTTTGAAGAGCAGCCCTCTGTGAATTGCAAAATATCTCTGTTGTTGATCTAGGATAATCAAGTGCTGAAGCAGACCATGCTATGCTACATGACATCACAGCTAGAGTTTATAATATATTCCTAGTCCCTTTGGCTTTCAAGACTAGTGTCTTTTTTTTTAAAAAAAAAAAAAGAGGATCTCTGACATGAAGCATCTGTACAGGCTATCCTGGGACTCTTACATTTTTTGGTATCAGAAAGATTAAAAGCTTTGGAAAGCACACCATAGGTTGTGCTTCAATTCTTCAGGCATCTGTTCCCAAGGGCTAATATATTTTGCCATGTACCAGAGCGGTTCCAGAGATAAAGGGACATTCAGCAAAGCCTACAATTTCAGAAACCCTGCTGCCAGCTGCAGGTATTAGAAACAGTTTCTTTCACTGGGAATTAGTGAGGAAATGGAACATTTAAGAGTATGCATCCATCATAGGATGTTTAATCTACCAGATAAATAAAGATAGACTCTCATCCAACAAAATATCAGTCTAAGACTTTTATTCCAGTAGCTTCGTCTACAAAAATTGCTTTTAATCACAGTGGCTTTATCCTTTAAGCAGAAGGCTGTGGTATGGCTGCTTGAAGCTCGGGAGCCTGATTTTGCCTCTGCATTATTCTAGTTATTCCTAAGCAGGTACAAGGGCAATAGGCTGTATTTTGTTGGAACACTATTCTAATTTGCTTTACGATGGGGGAAGGAGCATGTGTTGCTTTGTGCCATGGGTAGGAATGTCATAATGCTGTAATTTCCCTTTCAACATTTTTCCAAAGTTCTGCTTGAAGAGAAAGCAGTCAGATACACCCTTTAATTCACACTTCCTATATAAATAATGTATAATATACCTTATTTGGCCCTGGTTTAGAATTATCGCCATTCTGTGATGGCTGTAATGCTTTTTAGGAGGTGGGAGTCTCAGTAAAAATTTTGTAGTAGGTGCACACCCATGCACATGCCCATAGCACAATGGAGGGTTAGGAGAACAGTGTCATGCAAACCCATTATTCATTATAGATTTTTTTTATTATTAAGATAATACTAACAAGACAAGATTATTTAGCTATTCTGTTCTTTATTAGTCCCTAAGAGTCCTTGTCCGTTTGAACACCTGTGGCATAGCCTTCCATGGGGATTTTGCTGGCCATCTGCAAGTGCTCGGAGAGGAGCTTTACCATAGCCTAAATTGCTCGTGATTTGTACAAGAGTGTTCTCTCAAACCTCTGTGTTGTTACGCCACTGCTGCATGTCACTGCTAAGACAGAACAACACAGAAAGACTACGGCAAGCTGAATAAGGTTTGGTAGGAACGGGGCCCAGCACCCCCAAGGTAGGAGCCACCACTTCGATCAATGATGATAACTTCAGCCAGTGTTATTTTGATTTTCATGCTATAAAGTACTTATTAGTACTACTTGCAAACGGGTTTTGTTCTCAAAGCAGAAGCCTTAAAAATGTTTACTCCTGGATATTATTGTGCAAGGAAGGGTAGCATCTAAAATGTTTATGCAGGAGGAAAATTAGATCTTGTACATCCAAATGTCCTATGCTTACAATTGCAAATCCAAACTTGGGAGCAAACAAGGTTGTTATTTTCCCCGTGACCCAATTTAAAAATACTAACAGGTAATTTTTATAAGATTTTAACTTAGTTAAAACTTTTTACTTACATTTTAGCATGGAATGTTACAATGGTATAATTATGCACCACAGTTTGGACCAAAAATAAGAAATCAATGTACATAACGAAACAACAAAGACCTAAAATGAGTTCACCTGATATGGTTTCAGTTAAGTCTACCGCTTCTCTTAGCACGTGTATTAATTACATGCTGGGTGGTGCTTTGACAGTTATTACTGGATGCTACTTTCTAAAGCAGAGATGTTAATCACAGGAGCGTCTCTCTAACC